TCGTAAGAATACGGATACACTATGGAGTACAGACGGCACAGATCCGTCGAGACGGTCGTGGTGGTTCCAGGGGGAGATGACCGATCCAATCCAATCTGCACAAGGCAGACAAATGGTGTCCGTCACGGAGAATTAAGAGTAAAAATAGGAGGCGTTGGTCAATCGTGGTGTCTGGTCAAGAACTACTGATGCCACCAGGCTCAGAGCTGGATTAAGCGGCAGACGGCAAGTCTTATTTCTTAGCACTAAAATGGTCATATCTCTTCAATTTGGTGGCAATCAAACGCGCCAAAATGGATCAATTGGGGATATGCCGACTTTGGATCAATACGGATGGTAAACATTGATCGCCTTGATGAAGACGGAGACAACAGATGAGAAAATCTGGGCCCCCGCTCAAAGACTTGTATTTTTATTAGATTTTCATCTAGCTAACCTCGCCTCCCACGATACTCTTGCACCATCATCATTTTCGTCGTTGTTGGCCGCTCCCCGTGCCCGCCCTGTCAAGACTCAGTGCTGCGTTGCGCATTGCATAGTTGATTGACAGCCGAACCAAACTGGGCAGATCGACTTTCCCATACGAGCAATAGTCCACTTTGCATGGGCATGACGGTGATGCACTTTTCGCCTCCTTGGTTCCTTTTTTTCTTTCCTCTCGCCATCTTGCACGTCAGCCTCTTTCTGTTTTTTTTCCTTTTCGGATGCAGCCTGTCAAGTTCATTTCTGGTTGTCGACCGTGTCAACCCTGTGCAGGGACAGAAGGAGACAGAGTTTGGCGAGAGATCCGTGCGTTATACTACCAGATCCCGGGTCGGATACGAAAATATACCCCGTCTTACCATGGGCCGTCCACATCACGCGCGGTATTGGCCTGGTACTCTCGTCATTTTCCAGCAGTACATGACCCTGCGCGGGTTGTCCGTCAAGCTAAGGTACCTTATGCAGCAGCCAGCAGCCAGCACCGCAGCATATGTACGCACTACCACGCAGTACAGAGGTGCCTGTGCTGTGCATTGCATCTCCAATGGTTGCCCGTCACCAGTGACCATAACTCGAGTTACCTTGGTTCAACCCAAGGGTTACTTGACGGCGTGGCGTGCGTGGGTGGAAACCGCAAGGACTTGTTTATTGCCTTGCTTGTCAACGATTTGCCCCTCCAGTGCTAAGCCTACTTACTTTTTGCGAGGGGTCGCGCTGGGTGCCGGGTCATGTTCGTGGGTGAAGTTGGCAGCAATATCGGCACCCATAATTCATCACTGTGAGCAATTCATGGGGGATACCTCTTGTTTCCCGCGGTGGCCAGGTTCAACAACCCCGAATTGGTCTTCTTATTGGCACAGCATCCATCGCCTCGCAGAATTTCCCTCTCTGCTGCCATCGTCTGCTCGGAACCTCTTGCCAATATCCCACACACCTTAGACCGGGCCGTCTTGACTCTCGACACTTGTTCCTGCTCCTACGGGTATTGCTGCTCCTGCCTCCTGTTCTTCCATGCTGGGTTTGTATCCGTACCTTGGAAAGTACTCGACAAGTTGAGGTGATCCTGCCCCGCCAGGTAAGGTACCTTCCTCTGCAAGCCTTACTCTGCGTGTGATCATGTACCTGCGACTCAATCGCCTCCACCGGCCAGGGCTTTGGGCCACCGGATGGCAGGTTCGAATTTCCACGTCTGCCATTCTCAGCCAGTCGCACTGCTCTGGCAGGACCAGGGAACCCCCGAACCGGCCTCTTCCATAACCTCTTCCCTGCCGACCTGCCCCGCCGATGGACCCCCCGTTCGAGAGAAATGGGTATCCTTCTTCCCCCGGTCCAAAGTTCCTTCCTTCTTCCTTGAACCCAGCAAGTGGGTCCCTCCAAATGGAAGGAAACGGCCGTCTGGGTTCCCAACTTCCTTCCTCTCAGTCTCTCAGTGCCCTTTTTTTCGCTCTTCCTTTCTATACCCCGGCATGCAGCAAATCCCACTCACCCATCACCATCCCAATCCATCCACCATTCGTCGTGGTGTCCTGGATTGGGGTTGATCAAAATGAAGCCGTCGATACTTGGAAATCTGGAACACCGCTTCATAAAGTTCGGACACGCCAAAGCTCCTCCCTCCTCGTAGGGATCCCACCCCCTCTCCTTCTGTTGCACAAGACAAGGGATCCCACTACACTGCGACTTTATTCTTGTCAACGACGGCCATGACCAGCAGCCAAATGTCGACAAGTTTACCTCATTACGCCGATGACAAACACTGGCCATCCGAAAATCCAATCACCCATCGTCCACGAGACTATGGATACACTACGCTGAACTGCTTGGGCTGACCGCTGCCAACTTGGTTCGCGGCTCACCTTCTGCCACCATTCGCTTCGAAACGAAAACGCACAACCGCCTCGGCTCACGAAGCATCGTCGTCAGCGGAAGCGCTATGCAAACCGCCGTCGTCATTGGGTTACCCAGTCCCTCCATTTCGATTGGGTCTTCCCGTCCCTCCTCTGGATGCCATCCCTGATGGTTCCTGTCCGCCCAAGCACACACTCCGCTTATTGGAGGCCCTTCTCCCGCGCCTCCCTTCTCTAGTGATGATGGGCTTGCGATGGCTATGCTAAACAACCATTTCTTTCAGTGAAGCACTAGGCCGCAGACCGCAGAAGAGGGTGTCGAGCTCGTTGATACGCAGAATGCGATACACGCCGCATGTGCCTGCTTCGGCTTCCTCCTGTATCCGCACGGGTACGGATACACGCCGTAGAATCCAACAGGCAACCCCGAGGCAAGCATTCTCCGCCATGGGATAGCGACAGACGCTCATCTCGTTTCCCGTGTCGTTGGGACATTTGTTCTTCGTACTTTGGAAATACCGTCAAAATGGCACGATTGGCAGGGGGAACACCAGGGTCGACCGCCCGCTCTGTGCTATCAGCCACACGGCACGTGGCATGGAAGGGCCTAGGAGCCGAAGTATCCAAAGACAACCCCAATAGGACCCCTACGACCTACCCAGTCTGGTTCAAACCTTCTTCTGCCCGCTCACCCTAGGCCCAGGTATTCGTGCGTATATGGAGTACCTGAGTTGAACTCTGAAGTGAGCATTTCAATAGTAGATGGTTGTTGCTTGAAGTGGTCACTGCTTGACGGAGCAAACCCTGCCATTGAGAGTGAGACTAGGTATGTGGCCTGAGGTGGCATCAAAGGATCGCCCACTACCAAAACGTCCCCATCTTGGTACCCGCGATGCTTATCGAAGTAGCTCACGGACGACTCAGTAATCGGAACGCAATTCTACTCTGCCGCAATATTGATCCATCACCCGTTTCTCACGACGTCTCAAGCGAGTTGCTACATCGTTGCCAATACTCGAGGGGCACAGCGACACGTACTCCAAGGCAAATAGCTTCCCAGCCGACGCGGGCGAGATCACTCATCCATACACAGGATGCCGGTTGGTTGATAGTCACACCAATGGGCGAGACGCAGCGGCTTTCCAACGAGGACCAGGCTGTTTCCAGAAGCCAGGCTGGCGTGCCTAGAGCAATTGAAGCTAAGGCGCCGTTGCTGCACGAGTGGCGCTAGGTCTGCAGCGCCTCTACTGCGTACAGCCCAAGTCCCTATCTTGTTATCCTAGGGATCCACGATGCAGTTAGTATCAGGGAGCAAGATCGTTCCAATCGACTGGCTACACATACGGTTGGCGGAAGCGTTGGTGAAACGGGCAGCCGTTAGGCCAGACGGACTCTAACCAACCACTCTGCTGAAACCAACAGCCGACCAGCAGATGCATTCATTCGGTAATGTGCTCATCTGAAGACATTCGGGTCATTGCAGCGTTTTCTGCTTCGGCTACTGCGTCCTCATACTCATCCGCGAGCGTCCCGTCGGCATCTGTCAATACGGACCGAAAATGCTGCGTAACCGTCGGACAAGACGGTCTGCCGTAACATGACCGACGCACAATAAAGGGGACGCTTAATTAGCTCGTGGGGACGGATATGTGCATCAAATTCCCCGTCGACGAGGGGTCACCGCCCTGCCTTGCCCAGATTCTTGCTGCTGTAACCAGCCTGTGGGCCAATGTGGGGCCTCGCTGAGCCGACCCGAATCGCACGAAATACTCCTCGGCCGTCTATTTGATTACGCACGAAAGACAATACCTGCTGTTGTGCAATGGCAGCTTTGCTCAGCAGCTCAGGTCTCTGGCAGATACCAGCGCGCTCAGGAGGTATGTAGGTTCTGCTACAGCCTGCTCCATATAGCGGCACACAGATCATAGTGGAAGCACTCTTCATATCGAATTACCGGGGAGTCCCTCTTTGAAGTTACATCATTGGCAAGGCAGGGGGGGGGGGGGCGATTGTCCATCGCTGACTTTCCAACCGAAGCCTTTTGCTGGCAGAGTCTTCCTTGCATCGATAGGAGGATGATCCTGGTCCGGCTCATTGCACAAAACGGGGGCCAAATCGGAAATTGTCCAAAGACCAGAGAGGAGTAGCGACCGCCGCCAAATCTCCAAGCTAACAGCTCGCGACCACCATTCCAGAGTCCCGTCTCGCTGGCACGGCCCTGCCTTTGCAATTGATGAATCGCGAGAAGATACGGATCCAGCTAGCGACAACTTAGCTTGGTCAGGCGCAGCCACGCTCTATATTGCATCACGAGCTTTTGCATTACAGAGGCAAATGATGTCCAAAGATTGACGGCGTTGACGGCCTCGCTCCAGCTTGGCCAAAGCTCAACAAGATGCGCGGTGGCGGACGCCGTGATCGTTGGCCGGCGTCAAGTCGACCAGCACCCTGAGAAAGAAAATGGATACGTAACGATATCAAAGTTTTATTATGGTTCGCCGCCGGTCTTGCAGCGATACGGACATGCATCCCGATTTAGCCCACAGGACCGATCAGGAAGAAGGAAACTGCGCTCACAATGATCTCTCGACAAATGCGCTTTCTTCTTCTCTGCCACCGACTTGTCAACTGCATCGGTGGTGTGCTCATCCATCTCCTGGACAAGTTTCGATGCCCTGCCAGCTCAGCACATCACCATCGAGAACCAGATCGGGCCCCTGTCTTGCCGTGAAGCGACCGGGCGTGCCGCGAGACCCATTCGCCCGGATGCCCGACGTCCACTTTCAGGGCGTACAAACGGCTCGGCTGGTTTGTTCAAGCGTCCCGTCCAAGACTCCAGCCACGGTGCGTTTCGCTGGCGGGACGGTGCATTCGGGCCAGGGTGCAACCCCTGGTGTGTCTCACTCACGCAAAGGATTGAAGATATCCCCAGGTCTGGCGACGTGATTGCTCAGTCCAGTAACGATTGACGTGAGCTACGCGGCGAGTGCTCAGCCAGGTCCAATTTTTACCCCCCTGCGCCACGTGTGGCCTGGTTTAAAATGCCGTCTCTAGGCGTTTGGTGAAGGCATCGCTAGGAGGCCTACGGAGAATAGGCGATAGCCGCCCCAGGCCTGGCCCAGGTTTCGCCAAAAGGGCGGTGACAGCCGGGTATTGTAATCGTCGTTGAATGTTGCAGTTATTGAAGTGTGCGGTGACTGACTTTGCACCGTGTCAAACCTGCAGATCACAACCCAACTCAACCGAGCTACAGTTCCGACCCTTTCGTTGAAGACCGGCCTCGCACGGGCCCTCTCGGTAGGTGCGTGTGGCTGCGACCATGCGGCCCCAATGCAGATTGTCGACTACATTCAACTTCAGTCTCGAATCTGCCGGCTCAAGTCATGACAGCTTTGGTTGGACTGCCGGCTGTAGCAAAGTGCCTAGGCTACCTTTCCCAGACTCTTGCAGAACTGACTTGCGCATCTATTTACCCGCCAACAGTCTAGCAAGACATCGGCAATGCAAACAGACGCCTCTGCGGTGAGAGGTACCCCGGGATATGTGGCGTGCAGGAGAGATGATGGAAAAACTGGAGCTTGGATTGCCATGTTTTGGGACGGAGCCAAGACTGATTCACGTCTCACCATTCCTGCGGCTCGTCTCCGCGCTGCAAGCCCCCCGAACATGCTTCGCGAACGCCAGTCAACTTCTAGAGCTTATCAGACATTCGGGTCGACATGGAAAGGGAATAAAGACATCTCATCGGAGACATCAGACGGTCCAGAACGCGCTAGCGTCGGGCTCGAAAAAAGCCAGCCCGATCCTGAGATGTGAATTACCAACATGCTTGCTACACATCATCGGGTCGTTCTCACAAGGACAGATTCTATGAAGGAGGTTTCAATAGCTGGCCAGGCGGACCAGGCATCCTCAACCGCGGTCTTGGAAATTCTGCTCAGCGTCAGTGCCATCCTCAAACACTCATGCCCAAGGTGGACAGGCCGGGGTTGGCTCGTATTGCCAGTTGCTGGCTTCACGACGTGTGACGACGTCGGCCGATGGCGTTCACAACGTTGCCTCAAACACGAGAAGCTCATGTGGCTAGTCGAATAGCTCACTGACCTGAACGGCGCAACGTGGTCTGTATGGTCGTTGGCAGACTGTCAAGCGACAAGCTATCCAACTACTGCCGCCTCGTCACCGGTCCGTCGTTGACGGGGCGTGCGTTGGTGATGTCGATCGCCAGCCTACTACGGACAGGTCCGGAGCATCTGCCGATATAGTTCTAGAAGAACGCCGACTACCGCTCTAGCGTTGTCTTGTCCGCAGCCACTTGTCCTCATCAACGGCTCGCGACCTCAATTAACATTTTGCCTAGTCTACACGTGGTTTCTCGTGCTTCCACTACCGTTGAGTCAGTCTTGCGTCTTCCGCTGCGGGTGTCGATCAAACGGGTACTTGAGCGCTCTTCATGCTGTGTTCTGTTCATTCACAAGTCGGATCCGAAAAGGCTCAACCCGCAGAATCTATCAGAGACCAGTGCAGAAATGGGATGAAGCGGGTCCCATGCAACCACAGCGTGCAATTGTCCGTGGAACAAGTCTTGTTGGCTGACTCGGCCATCCACACCACAATGGCCAAGCTTATCGGAAAAGCCGAGCGACCACAAGACGTATCCTGCTCGTCCGTTTGAGGAAGGCAGATGCAGTATATTGCCAACAAAGTAAGTTGGCAAACGGGGTGACGCGGTGGCTTCTCGAGACGGACAGCTTCGAATGAGAAGACGGCACACAGCGGGATTCCGGGAGCGATTCGGCGGCATTGTGTGGGATCGACCTCAAGCCGATCTCCGTCCAACCTGGAGGATCATCACACTCCGACTTGGGGGTGGTGAGAAGCGGCCTCGGGTCTGCAGAGACGGCTTCATCTTCTGCGACCTGCCTTGGTCGGATGATGGCGAGTGGGCGGCGAAACAAGTTGTCCATTCCAAATCGACGACTCGGCCAGGGCTCATGCAGTCCAGCGTTGGGTCTTGATCGCGTCCCACACGATTGGAGTGTTTCACACTTATTTTCAAACATGTCCAAGACGGCCCATCCTGGTGTCGGGGAAACCACTCCTCAGACCAATCCCCCAGCGCAGATCCATCATCCGCGCCGAGGTTCTGCCTTAATACGCTTCCGTTGGCCCAGGGCCGTCTCATTCAAGGGCGGGGTACGCAAGTATGTACGCAAGTATGCTCGATGGTTGAGGCATCCCATATTGTTGCGCGCGTTTGGGAGATCCGCTGTGTCAGGCAGCTCAATGATGGCGCCTCTTGGATCAGACGACATGCTGATCAGGTAACCTTGTCGCACAGACGAGCGGGCTGCTTCTGGACGGCAGCGCAGCCCGCTATACGGGTTCTGTCAAAGTTGTCAAACTCAAAGCTCACAGACACGAGCAGGGCGCCACAAGCGGCGAATCCTCTTATCGCGGCGGCCAATTCATTCCCACATGGGACGGATACAGAAGGTGAAGAAGGAATTTTTGTTTCAAAAGTCTGTGCCCTCTCACTCACTCCCGTTCACAGTACAGGGCAACAGACCGATGTCACCGTACGTACCGGATGCATGCGAAAAGAGAAGAGAAAACGAGGGGCAGCAAGCGGCGTCGACCCTCGGAAGCGTTTGGATGGGTGTTATCAGAGGACCATTAAGACCCAGTCCTGTTGCAACAACCTCCCCCGCCTGCCGCAGAGAGCGTCTCCACTCACTGAACGCCGTGACCCGGCTTCGGCGTAGAGGTCTCTTTCTCTCTAACACTCTGGTGGGTGGTCAGGGTCCGCAAGGTCTGTCGCATTGGGGTTGCCGTCGTAGACTCGCGGCTCCCCGGCTTTAGATCACCAGAAAACGCTGATCTACGGTTCTCGGTACGTTCTACTATCGCAGGATGGGCAAGAGGGCCAAAGTCCAGGACTCCAGACGTTTCCTATAGAGCCCCTCTGGGCGTCTGGGGATGGCAAGCGCGCTTGTCTCGCATGACGAGACACACGTTCAGCATGCGGTGTCCTTGATTTCTTGGTTCTCACGGGGCGAGGGAGGGTCGTCACGAGCCCACCTTGCTCCGCTCTGGAAGTCATGTTGGCGGTGGTGCGGTTCCTGCAGCATCATGACTCTCCTTTCTCAGACTGGACTGTGTGGGAGGGCCCGGATTTGTGTGAGCGCCGAAGTGAGAACATGCGTCGGCCCATTCCGCAATGCTTAAAGTAAGGCGGTGTGGGCCAGTTATTCCTGTACAGCCAATCATACGGGCCGTCGGACAGAAGGCCGCGCGTGCAACAAGACTTGAGCTCTTACACAACTATGCCTTTCATCCAATAGGACCGCTGGCGCAACGGTAGCGCGTTCGACTCCAGCAGTGGCTCATCGAAAGGTTATCCGTTCAAATCGGGTGTGGTTCAATGCCCCGCATTCTTTTTGTGATTCTTGTCATTTTTAGTGATGTTTGTTCCTTTTAAATTGCATTGCAGTGAGTTGTAGATGAATCTCACGATGTTTGAGAGATATGGGGTGTGATAAAGAGAGATGAGGAAGGTGCAGGTGAAAGTGTAATCTAGTTCCTTCTTTTCCACGCAGACCCCACCTTTGTCATGAATGAGAAAGAGACTACTTGTCTGCCTATATCATTCATGAGCATGTGATGGGATTTAATTAGAATGATATTTACTTGAAGAGGTTTGTCAAGGACTAAGCTGCCGTGGACATGACGCCCAGACCCAACTCGCTCTTTTCTCGTCTTCTTCCTGCATAGATATCAGCTGTCCTCAATAGACTCCGGAATCGTGTCACCAACACGAAGCGGGCAGAGTGCCTGACCTCAAGCAAGAACTCTTGCTAGACGTAAATGAACAGTTTGATACTACTGTATGAGCCTAGATGGCATGTTCCATTAGAGGATATCTGTTGACAGCCATATGTCCTTCACACGCCATAACCTTCCCTAAAGCAGGACGTCGCAGCATCTGCATTAAGATTGGCGAGCCTCAACAATGGTCAAGAACAAAGACAGGTACCGTATAGGAGTAATCTACTCTCAAGATGGAAGCCCCTGGCATCTTCAAGGTCTTCTCATGCACCTTCTCTCAGATTCGGTGAAGAATGCTTACTCGCTTTCCCGCCCTTGGTGGTCGACTTGGTCTAGATGAGAGAGGCTTAGGTGAGGGAGGGCGAGATTCCAAAGCCGATGGCACAGTTTCCAGCTTTCAATTTCTAAGGGGCATTTGTGTGATAAATTGTTTGCCATGAAAAATGAAGTCGACTTTCTTGGAAGGAAGGAAGCTGAGAGTCGCTCCTGCCTTTTTGTGAGCCACCATAGACCTGCCCTCCTACTTTTGCACCTTTCACCTTTCACCTTTTTTCCAAATTTTCACCTCCCAGGAAGACATTTACACAAAGCAACAACTTCTTCCTCTCACTCCAATCGTCAATCCCACTCCTCTGCCCTGATTTGATCACATCGACGCCCCCAATGCAATTGCCTCCGTCACCTTGGCGACTGTAACTGCAGATACCACTTGGAAGGCTGCTACTTCTAGGCCAGGTAAGTCGGTCCTTCTCTACACACTTACGGCAGCTTTCTATTTCTGAGAAGATCGCTAAGTCTTTTTTTCAGATCGCAACGATGTCCTCCGACAGCGAGCACCCCGACGATGCTGGCTATGGTGACGAGACGAAGTCGAGCGTCTCTTGTGGCACATGCAAGAAACCGGGCCACAAGTTGGCAGATTGTTATTACTTGAGCTACGGAGTCCTCAGACATGGTTCTGTCAAGGGTTGCCCAATGTGCAACACTGTCAAACATTGCTACGATGACTGCAAGCTACTCCCTGCGGGTGGTGACGAGCTGCTTCAACACCATATGGAATGGCTCGTTCGGCGGCGCCGCAATATGCCTCTAATACACACGGCCGTAGACATCTGGATACTTGTTTTGGGGTTTCCAGATGATGGATACGGATATCCGTGGTCCCGTTCATTCACCAAAAGTCTGAACAAGAAACCACATTTGTTGCCAGGCTCACGCGATTTTCGTGAAATCGCCGAGATTGGTAGATATTATGACAAGGCAACGGAATCCCTTGCCGAAATTACGCGCCGCATCAATTTTACTGTTCCCGACTGGCCTAATGATGGATTTGACGCAAGAAACCTGGTGGGCCAGGCATATACACCTGCGTCCGACATACGTGAGAACGATCAGAAGCACAATGCCGAGTACACCTTGGCATTCGAAACGATTATGAGGCAGAGGAACGAAGGAAACTACAACGATGAGCGGACGCTAAGGAGGCTGAAAGTGCTCAGGGCCGGAGCTACATATCCAGCGGCCTTTGCGAAGGAAAGTAGCGCATGGGCTAGAGTATTCGGCAACTTCCTTCTCCACGACAAGCCTGGCGGTGTGGATGATGTAACTTTTCTCAGGGAACTCAGAGATCAAGCAGCAAGTCGGGCAGCAGGTCAATCTCGGTCTCAGCCGCCACAAGATCAGGCACTCAAAGATGAACCACAGAAGAAAGAGCCACCGCCCAGTACGCCCAAGACACTTAAGCGACAGCCAAAACCCAAGCGAGATTCACCACCAGACAGCGACATAAGTCTGCTTACTTCTCCGGAGTCTCGCGCTGAGGAGATGGTGACAATTCCTGCACGGCAGCCTACTCAGGGATCACAAACGAAGCGAGCGTCACCAAAACACAAGCGTCCGGCAGCCACCCCAGAGCCTCGAACCAATGAAAGATTTCCGACATCTTCATTAACACCTCTCAGAGTTCGCCAGCGAATTTGGGCGACGCTGTGCCCGGACAGGCAGTGCGTCGGTGGATACCCCTTTGAGGTTCCCATACCTCCGATTGCTCAACTCAAGGCTCATGTAATTGACGATCTGGGGGAGGACAACAACTCGAATGAAGATCCGGACAAGCGACTTCCTCTGGCAAACTACATCCACCCACATGTCACCATCAGCCTCACCCAGCGAGAGCGACCCGACGGCGAGCCTGTTCATACGCTGGTACTTGGCCTGACTAAGGCGACGTCCATGCTGCGCTTCTCCCGGCTTGGACTCCTCCAGGCCTACGACATGGCCGTCTGCTGGGCGTCCAAGGTCGATAGAGACGGCGTCAGCTTCTCTCTTCGAAGCGCTTTTGACGGCTGCAACGCGGTGACGGAGGGTTTTGCGGGGGACAAAATGCGCATCGAGGAGATGGCTGAGCTGGAGAAGCAGATTGAGAGACTGGCGCCCCGGCGTTCGCAATTTGACATGGTGGTGGAGCGCATCAAGGACTGGATGGAGAGGAGCGGACACAAGACTCAGTATACGTCCCGAGAGGCTTGGAGCGATACTCTTCGCAAGTGGTGGAAAGATGAACATGATGATGTGGGCGGGCTGAATCGAGAGGAACTGAAGGATGCTTGTCTACAGGCCATAGAGGCCAAGATGAAGGAATGGGAGAAGGAGAAGAAGCGAGCCATCGAGGAGCCCGATTCTGACCTGGAGATTATTGAGTCCCCTCCCAAGAAGAAGGCTCGGTCGCGTTGATGTATATGCACAATATCATGGTGCGTAATTACAGATCAATACCAAGTACCGTACACCAGATCCCTTGTCCAATAAGTCATATCAGTGTACACTCTCCTAGACCCCTTGCTTGGCCTTCTGAATCGGCTCCCCGATGTCTTCCACCGCATCCTTCTGCTTCCTACGATCCCTCCTGACCAAGAACCAAATCGTACCAGTAATGAAGAACTGCACCACCATCGTCGCCACAACACTCCTAAACCCACGCCGAAAGTGCGGCGCCTCAACAGCAGGAAACTGCAGCAGCTGCGCCCAGGCAACAATGGCCTGCCCAATGGCATTCATCGACGCCGTCACGATGGCGCGCTCCTCGGCATCCCCGGCCATGGTAATTGTAGCCCACGCCATCGTCAGCGAGGGGATCGCGCCCTCGAACCCGTTGAGCATGAACGCCGCCAGACGACCGCGCTCGCCGACGTCCCACGCAACGAGTAGGATGACGCCAATCAGCGATGGAACGGTGGCAGCGACAGATAACCCAGCGAACCAGCCCGTGCGATCGGCCACGGCGCCCGCGGCAAAGGCTGAGACGACGGAGATGGCGGTCGCGACGGTTGGCAGGGTGTTGATCCGCGTCACGGAGTATGTCGCGGGGAAGGCCTTGAGGTAGAGGGAAAACGGGGACCCGCTGGGCTGCAGGTTCTCGTTCATGATGGTCCACTGCGCGACGAAGAGGTACCAATGCCAGCGGCGGAACACGCGCGCGAAAATGTCCCGCGAGACCTTGAGCCGCGGCGGCGCCGTCAGGCCCCGGAGGCGGTCGCACGCGAGGGCGTAGAGGCGCGGCGGGAGCAGCCTCGGCCTCGACCGCGCGGGGACGTCCGGGAAGACGAAGAAGCCGACGAGGGCGATGGGGACGGTGATGACGGCGTCGACGACGAAGAGCCAGCGCCAGCCGGCGAGGCCGCGGGCGCCGTGGAGGTTGGTGTAGGCGGCGGCCTGGAGGTAGCCGGCGAACATTGTGCCGAGGGGCGCGGCGACGTAGAAGAGGGCGACGCGGCGGCCGATCTCGGCTGGCTTGTACCAGGACCCGATGACGTAGATGATGCCTGTGAAGGAGGAGGACTCGAAGAGGCCGGTGAAGAAGCGCATGGCGTAGACTGTCTGCACGTTGCGCGCCCAGGCGAGGCCGAGGGTGGAGAGGCCCCAGCCGATCTCGAGGACGGGGAGGACGATATTGATGGGGAAGCGGGTCAGGTAGTAGCAGGCGGGGATCATGGAGGTGCAGTACGAGGACCAGAAGACGATGGTCATGTAGTTGA